AATGGGAAAGAACCACTCACCACCCACATTAAAATAAATGGACTTAAAATGCTCATCTTTGATCCTCTGTTTAGTGCTATGTTTTTGAGAAGATAGAATGCAGCTCTGGTACTGGTTTTAAGAAAACATTTAAAATGTTATTTAGTTTCACAGGCGAACAAACCCAAAACGAAATGCAAATCAAAAATATATTGTTCAAAGGTTTTAAAAATCCTGGAGGGGGAAAAATTAAGTCAGGATAATTTTTAAAATTATGCTTGCAATCTGCACTTTCTTGCAATCAATGGAACATATGCCTCTATTCATGTAAGAGAAAAAATGCTACTTCATAAAAATGATCACGCATCCTGTATGTGTGTGTGAATGTGTGTATTACAATTAAATCTGGATTAGGTAAACAAATGTACTCTCATCCAGATATTGCTACTTGTACATACACGTACATGTAGCAGTCTAAAACAACGGCTGGAAATGTAAATTCCCATCCATGCTAAATGTTGGCAAAATTATTTATTTATTTTAAATATTTTAAAATATTTTTTTAATTTAAAACTTTATTATTTATTTATTTAAAATATTTTTACCCCACCTCTCTCCTTAAAAAAGATGCAAGGTGGCTTACATCGTTAAAATACAATACTTAAAGCTAAAGACAGTAAGCACACAAATACTAAATAAACAACCGTAAAAATGGTAAACGAAAGCAACAGCAAAAATACAGTAACTGAAAGACAGGCATCTCCTGATCATCTTAACACCCAAGCAGGTTACCAATGGGAGACACAGTCCATGAGATAGCTCGGACCCCAGCCATTTAACACCCAAGCAGGTTACCAGTGGGAGACAAAGTCCATGAGATAGCTCGGACCCCAGCCATTTAGAGCTTTATAGATTAAAACCAGCACTCTGAACTAAAATTTGAAATTGGGGGGCGGGGAGGGGAAAAAGAGAGGGCAGACAATATTGTGGCACTTAAAGAATCATACATTTATTTCAGTGTTATATTTTGTGGAACAAAATCCACTTCTTCAGACCCAAGAGGTGCAAGCAATATGTCCTCTATATCTATACATACCTCCATGGGGGGAGGTGTATTAACCATATAAGGATACAGACCAGAGGAAAAGTGATAATGCATCCTTAAGTCTGAAGAAGTGGATTTTGACACACGAAAGCTACAGTGAAATAAACCTGTTGGTTTTTAAAGTGCCCCCAAATTTGTCTTTTTTTTTCTCTTATTTTTCCCCTTTCCTCCACTTCCATTTTCCTAATATGCTAAGACAACTAACTGTCTCTTTGGAAACAGAACTCCTTTTGCTTCTGTAATTGTCTTAATGGACTGGTATGACAGGAATATTTTATGCCTGCATTCTGCTTAGCAAAACCAAGTTTGTTTCCGTAGAATGTCCAAAGGTCACGTTATATTCCTCCTTATGACCTGTGAATTGTTCACCAAAAGGCATATTGTGTAAATGTCAGAATCCCACAGAAACCTGGAGCTTCCTATCGAAATTACCTATGAAAATACAGAAGCCATCTTTTCATTGATACCAATGGGAAAAACCTCTGATTTGTGGGCCTTAACTGGCCACAATGATAGTCGGTCCCCACACGTGATTTGTACCAACCTTGAAGAGAAAACTCTCTCCATGGAAATGGACAGTGTGGAGGTCAATCTCATTTCCCATTCCAATCAGATACCAGTCTGTATTTTCCCCTTCATACATTGTTAGACCATGGAGATTGTGGTAGATCTTTCCATTGATTGCTGAAAGAGTTAGGGGAGATGCTTAAAAAAGAGCAAACAGGTTTATTGATGTATTCCACTGCATACTGGAAATGTTATATAGCCAGAACATATATCATGCTAGAACAATTGACCCGAAATGCCCCTTTAGGCCATCCAGAGGTTATCCAGCTTCCTCTGATTTCATACCCTCTGTACATAACTCGGAGAATTCCCTGAACAGCTTTTTCAGGTGCACAAAGAACAGTAGCTCCAGGAAGAATACAGCAAAAAGCCCCACTAAACAAGTTGAATGCTATTTGTTTTGATTTGGATCCAAGCCTTTATCTTGATGACCTAATACTAAGCCTCTTATTCTGTTTGCAAACACATTTATGGAATAAGGTTTAAATGGAACCAGTTCAAGTACTTCTGCATTGGATTAGACATTTGCAATATGAAATACATGTACATACACTATTTCATGGATATCGTGTTACCATTTCAGTGGGAGCCATGAGCATCGCAGCCTCCAATTACAAGTGTATTGTTTTATGGGTAGCTTATCTTACCACTTAGTATGTATGTAGCTGATCTGTACCCTCGATCCTGCCTGTTTCAGTGTAGGGGAACTAGGACACAAAATCCCTACACAGTGCCCTGGTCTTGAGGGCTGCTGTGTTGTAAGAGGGAGGAACCAGCCATATATTTGGTACCAAACCTCAGTGAAGACCATGGCTCCTTGGACCTATGAATGTTCTCCAGCATGTGCAGGCATTTGTACTTTTCCTTTTGCTATATTTTTTATCATACTGGTTCTGTGTCAACTATTTATACAACAGGTAAAGGTAAAAGCTCCCCTTAGACATTTAGTCCAGTTGTGTCCAACTCTAGGACACGGTGCTCATCCCCATTTCCAAGCCGTAGAGTCAGCGTTTGTCTGTAGAAAGTTTCCGTGGTCACGTGGCCAGCGTGACTAGACACGGAACGCCGTTACCTTCCCACCGAGACGGTACCTATTTATCTACTTGCATTTGCATGCTTTCAAAGTGCTAGGTTGGTAGGAGCTGGGACAGGTGATGGGAGCTCACTCCATCACGTGGATTCGATCTTACCTATACAATAAGACACCAGTGGCTTTCTGTCTTCAAGATTCAAAGAACACAGTTTACTGGGGCTCTAACGCATGTGTCAAGTCAGAACTGACTTATAGTGACCCTAAAAGGGCTTTCAAGGTAAGTGAGATATTTAAGGAGTGGTTTTGCCCGTTCCTCTCCCTCAATCAGGTTCCATGGCTGAGCGAGGATTTGAACCCTGTTCTCCAGAGTCCTAGTCCATACTCTGTCCACTACAAGCATATTGGGAACTTCTAGCCTCTCTAAAGCTGCCGTTTAGCACAATTGGTACCGGAAGTGCGGTCTTCATAAGACAAACCACTGCATGGGTGACAGGAAGCAAAGAGGCTGTTGCTTACAGCACGCAGTCCCTGGTTCTCTGTGCAAGGTCCACAGCCTCCCTAGCCAGGATTACTGAGCAGAGTGGTTCCCCCACCTTGCTACAATTGGAACGTAGCTTTATGGAGGAGAAATGTGCACCATGTCAATCCAGAGAAAAACTGAATCCTACCATTGCTAAGATAATGAGGAATCTGGAGCGTGAGACCTGAGGAATCCAGACCACACCCCACTTTGAAAAATATGCGTTTGTTTCCACTGCAGGAGGCCCTGTGACTGGTTTAAACATTAATTGCTGCTCTTGAAGTCTTCTTCTTCTTGCTGGAAAACCACTTTTTAGTGGGAAGCTGGGAAAATCTGATAAGAGCTGGGGACTGCTAAAATATCCTGCGTGGGGGGTGGTGGTCTACCTACAGCCCCCTGTGGCCATACTTTGCCCACTCTTGGTATATGGTCACATATATGATCATAAACCTAATGTGAACATTTCACAAAACAATAGTTAAAAATGCAGTCCTCTAACATACCATGCATTTTGTTTCCTTCCACAAAGTCATCTGTGTGATTGAATTCTTTAGGATTCTTATCTAGATATTTTTCAATGTTTTCATTCAAATACCAGGACTCATTTTCATCAAAAACAAGGAACAAAAGAGCAAATTCACGATCCACATCTGTCCTTACGCCCTTCTCGTTTAATATTCCTTTTCTGCAAATGATAAGTGGTCCAATCAAACCACTGTACATATCCTGGAAAGAAAGAAAATGGGAAATAAGCCATTTAGTTAGTTACAGATTTTAAGAATACGTGCATGTAGTCCCTCACATATATACATATGGGGGAGGGGTGTACAGTGGGGGCTAAATCCAATTGTTAGTGCCAGTTCAGTAGATCAACTGAACCAATGAGACCTACATCAAAATAAACTTTTCAAGGCCAAAGAATCATTCTTACCATAAAGATCAGCAGAAAGACCTGAGTCTCTGTACAATATTTTTAAAAAAATTACGGGAAGGTGTGGGAATCAGTAGCTATTGGCACATAAAAAGCAAAAAGCAAAGCAAAGTGTGCTGCTTATATACCGCCCCATAGCGCTTCAAGCACTCTCTGGGTGGTTTGCAAGTTAATTATGCAGGCTACACATTGCCCCCCCCAGCAAGCTGGGTACTCATTTTACTGACCTTGGAAGGATAGAAGGCTGAGTCAACCTTAAGCTGCTACCTGGGATTGAACCCCAGGTCGTGAGCACAGTTTTGGCTGCAGTGCAGCGGTTTAACCACTGTGCCACGAGACCTAAACTTATAATTTTATCCCAGAGGCACATATTCCAGCTGAGACACAATCTCAACATGTCTTGACTATTTAACACAACACCAAGAACAATGTATTCTTGCCTTGAATCAGCATCTCTTTCAAAGTATCCATTTCAGATACCAAGGGTAGAGAGCTGAGTGGATCTTTGACCCTCGGGAAACATCCTGGGGAAAATATTAATATTTATTGCCTTCCTGAGGTATTAACACATTGTTTTCTGGTGGCCCCAGTTAGGATTTTCTCAGGAACTGTGTTGCCCCCCACTCTGGCTGGAAATAAAGCATTATTTATTTAGTTTATTATAAGGGCAGGTTATTTTGAGTCAGTGGTTGAAATCCTGTTGAGCAAGGTCTGTGTGCAGAACAGGAATGGTATCATCATCAGTGGCAAATAGCCACAGACAATATGTCAATTTTAGGGTAGACACAACTCATAAACAATGGGGAAAAGTTGCATGCACTCTGAAATCACCAAAGGAAGTTTTGATGGCAGCAATTTGCTGCTGCTAATGATAGCATTCTCATGGTGCATGCAGAGCTGCAAAAGATTTCGATCAAATAGTCTGTTGGATATATGTTATAGACAACATACAATTCTCTAAATGAACTGAAAGATTGGACAGAACTGATTAAGCTTTTTAACAAGAAACTGTGGGCTTCGGTAGGGCCGTAGCAGAACAGATCACCATATTATCTTGCAGTGTACAGTGGACCCTCGATTTACGGAATTAATCCGTATTGGAACAGTGGCTGCAGGTCGAAAAATCTGTAGGTCGAGACTTCATTGACCTACAATGCATTGAAAACCGATTAAATCGTAACCGGCCATTTTTGTTCCATTTTGTGTTTTTTTCCCCGGTCTGTAGGTCGACTCTCTGAGTACACATCTGAGTAGCCTCTATAAAACCCATAAGTCAGGATTGACATGAGGGCACACAATAAAAAAATATGCTATAAGGGCAAAGCTTGTCAAAGAGTGCTGTCAGGAAACTCACTTAGGTAAAAACAAACACTTGCCTATAACACACACGCATGTGTGTGCGCGCACACACACACACTTCATGATGGCTTCCTACTTACTTTTACAAAATGTACTGTTGAGTAGTAAACCCAAGTAATGCAATTAGGATCAGAGACACCGGGACCCGACCTTGCTGGGACATTCCATCGGTATGTGCTGATTTCTCCTGGTGTTCATGCACGCATATTTAAGACAAGGGAGAGGAATGGCGTTAAAACAGAATATTGTTGTCAACATCCAAAACATGATAACATTTACTGCTGAGTTTGAAACAATCAAGGTCAGTCATTTGGGATCAAAACTGAGAAGGAAAACTATATGGGTCCTTTTGGGGAGTAAGGCAGGATAGGAATATTTTAAATAATAAATATATGGCTTACAATTTACATGCCATCGGTGAAAGCTACAAAATGCGATCTTTTGCTTTAAGAAAAAGGACACCAAACATCCCAGGAGTATGTTTCTACCAGTTATAATAAAACTTAGACCCCCAAAACTAATTTTACTGTGTGTTTTTAAGGTTTAACAAACTGAAAATGCATTTTACTTACTTACATTTATGTACTATTTATATTCCAGAATTCCATTGCATACAGACGATGGCTAAGGAGGTTTTAACTCAGTTTAAAATCAGAGCAGAACTAAAGAGAATATAATAAACTGCCTGGATGGCCCCACCCCATTTTTATATAGCTGACAACAACTCAGTAGTCAAGCCAATCCATAATAAGCAGCATCAAGAAAAACTGGGAATTTGGTTTCAGCTATAGGTTAAAAAGATAAAGGTTCCCCTTGACATTTAGTCCAGTCGCGTCCAACTCTAGGGCGCAGTGTTCATCCCCGTCTCCAAGCCATAGAGCCAGCGTTTGTCTGAAGACAGTTTCCATGGTCATGTGGCCAGCGTGGCTAGACACGGAATGCCATGACCTTCCCCCGGTGGTACCTTCTACCCCCCTCCCACTACCCTCTCGTAAGGCTGGTCCATCGGCCTTTCATTCATAGCATTTTATCACTCATTCAGATATGTCGTCCATTAATTATGGTCCTTTTTTCCCTTACCATAGAAGTCCATTATATAGGGAAAGGTGAAAAAATAGGATAATGCCTTTTGAAGAGAAATGGTAAGAACCACCTGCCTTAAAGCACCCAAAGGAAATGTTGATGCAATCTTCAAGACAGACTGAACACTGTACACAACCACCCCATACCTGGCATAGTGGCATGTGCTTTATTCCCGATGTAGTCTTCTTCTATGCCATGGGCTGACACTGAGTAGGGCCTACTAGCTTTGTTCTTAAATATGATTAGGATTGAGTCACCAACCTCTGCATGAATCAAGGGTCCTAAGTGAAACAAGAATAAGAAGTGGTTGAATTGTACAATATTAAATGTGAAGACAAAACTTCTCATTCTAAAAAAAAAGGTCAGAATAATAACTAGGTCTACCAGCCAATTACTCTCCCACCTCCACAATCTTATCTGAGCAATTGTATGAGTTTTAGTTGATTTACTGAAGAACAAGCTGGCTATATAGCACAGTGGTTTGGCTGTTGAGCCAGAGATTGGGAGTTTGATTCCCAACTGTGCCACCTGGGTGAAAAGCTAGCCTGTGTGGCCTCGGACAAGCTACACAGTCCCCCAGTTCCTAGAAGAAGGGAACGATTAAGCAATTCTGAGGATTCTCTACCTAGAAAATCCTGAAAAGGGTCACCAGAAGTTGGGGTCATCTTGACAACTCACTATATATATAGTGAGTTGTCAAGATGACCCCAACTTTTGGTGACCCTTTTCAGGATTTTCTAGGTAGAGAATCCTCAGAATTGCTTAATCGTTCCCTTCTTCTAGGAACTGGGGGACTGTGTAGCTTGTCCGAGGCCACACAGGCTAGCTTTTCACCCAGGTGGCACAGTTGGGAATCAAACTCCCAATCTCTGGCTCAACAGCCAAACCACTGTGCTATATAGCCAGCTTGTTCTTCAGTAAATCAACTAAAACTCATACAATTGCTCAGATAAGATTGTGGAGGTGGGAGAGTAATTGGCTGGTAGACCTAGTTATTATTCTGACCTTTTTTTTTAGAATGAGAAGTTTTGTCTTCACATTTAATATTGTACAATTCAACCACTTCTTATTCTTGTTTCACTTAGGACCCTTGATTCATGCAGAGGTTGGTGACTCAATCCTAATCATATTTAAGAACAAAGCTAGTAGGCCCTACGTTCAGGAAAACAGGGTACTAATGAACCTGCATCTTAAAAGAAGGGGCATAGATTATTCAGCTTGGTAAAGGCAGGTATTCTGAATGGTGAGGTGAATTATATTTTCCAAACAAGTTATTCATTCATTTATTTTGTGGTCACAATTGACTAGATAGGCGGGGTATAAATGAAATAAATAAATAAATAAATAAAATAAAATGGCCATTCTGGGCAGTGTAAATCATTTTTACAAACAAATATTTTGACAGTCACACACACTCCCCAAACCCACTCTGTGCAGGTCTTGTGTTCAAATGAAAATACATTAAAAAAGGTTTTTCATAATTTTTCTAAAAATGTTCAGTCAGAGTTTCAGCTAAATGCCATTCTGAAATGAAATCAATTGAATCTTTTTTTTGAAGAGTGTAAATAAATAATTATTTGGGAAAAGCACATTTATTCCATACTCTGAAATCTTAATTAGTGTAACAAGTTATTCATTCATTTGTTTTGTTTTGTTTTGTTTTTTATTTTAAAATGGCCATTCTGGGCAGTGTAAATCATTTTTACAAACAAATATTTTGACAGTCACACACACTCCCCAAACCCACTCTGTGCAGGTCTTGTGTTCAAATGAAAATACATTAAAAAAGGTTTTTCATAATTTTTCTAAAAATGTTCAGTCAGCGTTTCAGCTAAATGCCATTCTGAAATGAAGTCAATTGACTCTTTTTTTTGAAGAGTGTAAATAAATAATTATTTGGGAAAAGCACATTTATTCCATACTCTGAAATCTTAATTAGTGTTGCTGCTCCACCTGTTGGTTGAATCTGTAATTTACAACCCTATGCCTTTGGTCCAAAATTGCTTTGAAAGGGAGTCAAAAGCTGTGATCCAATAGCTGCAAAGGTGCACATCTTATTGCACCAGAAAACATCACTTTAATGGTAGTGATCTCTCTTAAAGAGATCCTTCCACCTGCTGAGGAATTGCTCCATCCCCTAGACTCAAAAAGTAGAAGACCTACAGCTGGACCAAAAATGCCCAACTTGGGGACAGACTGGGGTCAAGCTGGAGCGAATTTCCCCACACATTGTGTGATCTCCAGAGAAAAGATCTCCCTGGAAAAGTTCCACAAGTGGTCCAGGTTTCAACCTGTCTCCCCGTATGACCACACCCTTAATCCTCTTGCATTTAGTACAAGAATGAAGAATCTGTCACCCTACACAGGTTGGTGGACCAACTCCCATTACCATGAGCCAACATACCCAACAGCCAGAAATTATGTGAGTTTTAGTCCTGCAACATCTAGGCAACCAAAATCTTCCTAATTTGATTTAGTGAATATCTATTCTCACTGTCTGCATGGTCTGTACAAAACAAGAGACCCATCCTATGTTGCCCCTTGCTTCCCACAGTATCCCTATCTTAGCCTGAACCAACCACCGGTATATTTAATAATACCAAGACTGTACATTTGTATAGTATTTTCAAAGCATGGTGCAGGTGTGGGACCAAACCCATCCCTGCTGGGCCATGCCTCTTTCCTATGTCATAGGCATCCTTCAGTCTCAAGAGACCATGGTAACATGCTCTGTATCGAGAAGTGTCCTTTCCAGAGCATGAAGCCTGGGTAAAGTAATATGGAGGATAGGCTGTTACCCAAGCAGCAAATCCCCCCTCTCTATCTTGTTGAAATGGTCCAATGGAAAGGCAAGAGCCAATACAACTGGTTCCAGCAACGTCGCAGGAGTTGGCACCATAGTGATTTCGCAGATACTGTATTTTTTCACATTTGAAAAGGCTAAAATATGTCTCCTAAAGGCTAAAGCTTAGTTACTGTTAGTAAGCACATCAAAGCCAAATATACTTCTAGTTTTCTTCCCACCTTTCTCCCTCTTTCTTCATCCATTATTGAATGTGGCCCTTGAACTCAAGCTCTTCAGTTCGTTCGTTCGTTCGTTCGTTTATTCATTCATTCATTCATTCATTCATTCATTCATTCATTCATTCATTCATTCATTCATTCATTCATTCGTGACAGCTACTCTTCAGGAGTTCAGGCAGAATAATCTTCTAGACCTACTTAGAGGTCACTGGTACTACCTTATAGTCTCCTGTTCAAGCACTAACAAGGCCCAACGCCATTTACCTTGAGATTAAGTGTGTTCATGGCGTTGTGGTGATATTCCACGGTAGACATGGATTAGATTGTGTTGCAATTGTTTTAAAAATATTCTTTTGGGAAGGAACAGGTCTTCTACCATCTTTTGTGAATCCTTTCAACTTCTCACCTAGAATCTGGAGGTGTTGCTCCTTTGTTGTCCTCTTTTTGTGTTCTGTGAACTCTCCACTTTGGTACTCCCTATAAACCACTTTCGTGTACTTTGAACCTATGAGATCTTCACCTTGGCTCAAAAATACATGTCCGTAACTTGAGAACGATTTAAAAAATAAAAAGTGCATAAACATTTAACAACTTCACAAACACAACATGATGACAAAAATACAGGCTGGAACTCTACTACGGACAGACACCAGTGTAAGTGTACTTGCATAAATCGTGGCAGTAAATCCCACCAATTAACAACAATTAGTGCTTGCACTCCTAGCCACATGCTAAATCATGTAACTGGCACAAAATTAAAAGTGTGAGCAGCAACTCATTAATTAGCAGCAATTCATCCTCCCCCTTTATGCAGCTGTATTTCTGCCTGCATAAATCCACAATAGGATTCTGGCCATAGTGACACTTAGATATGCAGCCTATTGTACTATTCATATTTGGACTTATTTTTAAAAGGCCACTTTTAAGATACCTTAATGAATTCTTTCAAAACTAGTTTTTAAATGTTTAAGAACACTTCTCTAATACAAAATCTCTTTTTGGACCTTTTTGGTGTTTTGTTTTATAGTTAAATTTCAAGTTTCTGACTGGGGGGAATATCACTGGATATCAATTTCAGAAGACAGGAAGCACCGTAGCACTAAACTCCACCCTCTAGAACAGTAATTTCCAATGTTGGATCTCCAGATATTCTTGGACTGCAACTCCCAGAAATCCTGACCAGTACAGCTAGTGGTGAAGGCTTCTGGGAGTTGCAGTCCAAGAATGTCTGGGAAGCCAAAGTAGGGAACCACAGTTTTAGAACAAAGCAAAACTAAGAAACAAACCCAGATTTCAGCAGTAATGCCAAGATACTGAGAGTCATAGAAAATGTCTCTGAACTAAGCCAGACAATCTTTATGTAGGAATTACATGTGTCTTTGAAGTTAATTTACTTCCACCAGATAGAACACAGGACCAAGGAAAGCTACCTTGTATTGAATCAGATTCTTGGTTTTTCTAGCTGAATACTATACAGTGGTGCCTCGCAAGACGAGTGCTTCATTTCACGACAGAATCGCATAACGACGAAGTTTTTGTGATCGCAAAAGTGATTGCAAAATGATGTTTCCTATGGGTTTTTTTCGCTTTGCGATGATCGGTCCCTGCTTTGCTAACCGATTATCGCAAAATGTCGATTTTCGCACAGTTGATCGGTGGTTTCAAAAAGCGATTGCAAAACTATGTTTCCTATGGTTTTTTCGTTTTGCGATGATCGGTTCCCTGCTTCGCTAACCGATTATCGCAAAACAACGATTTTCGCACAGCTGATCGGCGGTTTCAAAATGGCCGCCGGGCAAAAAAATGGCCGCCCGCTGTTTTCTGGGACTTATTCCTTGCTGCACGGACAGCGAAAATGGCGCTATGGAGGATCTTCGCTGGACGATGAGTTTCAAGTCCATAGGAACGCATTAATCAGGTTTTAATGCGTTTCTATGGGCTTTTAAAAATTGCTTTATGATGTTTTCGTTCTACAGCGATTTCGCTGGAACGAATTAACGTAATGCGAGGCACCACTGTACTGTTGTGCCCCACTGGACGATTACCCTGCTCTATGACGAATCCGCATTACGTCGACGTTTTTGTGATCGCTTTAGCAATCGCAAAATGATGTTTTAAATGGGGGAATTTCGCTTCACATTGATCGGTTCCCTGTTTCGGGAACCGATTTTTCGTTTTACGATGATCAACAAACAGCTGATTGTCTGGTTTCAAAATGGCTGCCGGCTTTCAAAATGGCCCCCTGCTGTTTTCTAAGACGGATTCCTCGCTATACAGACACCGAAAATGGCCGCCGTATGGAGGATCTTCGCTGGACGAGCAGGTATTCAGCCCATTGGAATGCATTGAATGGGTTTTCAATTCGTTTCAATGTTTTTTTTTCCGTTTTGTTTGACAACGTTTTCGCTCTACAGCGATTTTGCTGGAACGAATTAACATAGTCAAGTGAGGCACCACTGTACCATCCCTTCACATCTTGGGGTGGGAGAATCTGGGCACCGGATGGGTTCGAGGAGAATTTATTCACTTCATTTCATTTCATTTCATTTCATTTCATTCATTTCATTCATTCATTCATTCATTCATTCATTCATTCATTCATTCATTCATTCACCCTGTGTTATCACCTGGGGCTGAGTTTGGGAGAAACACGGTGGCATCGTGCTACACAGGAGCAAACCCAACGTGCAAAGGTGAGCAGGGTTAGCACGGAAAAGTGCGTAAGCAAAAAGTGAGACCCCAAGGCAAAGGGGGGAAGGAGGAGGGAAGGAGGGAGCTCCGAAGGCTGCAACCGACCGTATCCCGGGACCCCGCGTTTACCTGGCGGCACCTGAGGAGGAGGAGGAGAAAGCAGGGCGTCTGAGTGGAAAGAAGCAGGAGAGAGAAGCGGGTGCGAAGGAGCCAAGAAGGAGCCGAAAGCTCTCAGGACTAGCAGCAGAGCGGCCGTTTTTTGGAGAAAGGCGAAGCAACGCCCCGCAGAAGGAAGAACTTACGACTTCTCCTCGCTGCCCAGGGTGGCCGGGCACCCCGTCTTTCCCAGAGGGACCCTGTAGGTGGAACAAAAGGAAAAGAGGGTCAGAGCGGGGTGGTGGTGGTCGGTGGACGAAACTGCAGTGCTGCAGTCAAGACTCTCTGCTCACAACCTGAGTTCGATCCCCAACAAGGCCGAGGTACTCGGCTCAAGGTGGCATAATTAAATTATAAACTTCCCAGAGAGTGCTTTAAGCACTACGGGGCGGTAGGTCAGCAGCACATTTTGCTTTGGGGGTTTTGGGCTTTGGCCTGAAAGAGGGGACCTCAAAGTGTGGGGTGGGGACGGGAAGAGAAATGGGGCGACTCACCGGGGGTCCTTTTGGTCCGGGGAAACCGTTGGGCCCTTGCGATCCGGGAAGCCCCTGCGAAGGAAGAAAAGATTTGTGGTTATGGTGGTTGATTGTGCCGCCCAAACGGATGGTGTTCCCTTGGAAATGGACACCGTGCATGTCCGTTTCGGTGCCCAGTCCAATCACATGCCAAGAAACGTTGTCCTCCTTGCACATAGTGAGGGCCGGCAGGTTGCCAAACATGTAGCCGTTGATTGCTGAAAAGAGAGAAACGCTCACGCTTGTAAGAGTTCTGCAGGTCAGCTTGCCTTAGTAAATTACAGATGCATGCACACCTTGCAATTGGAGGGTTCTGAAAGTCCTCTTTTTCTTAAGATATCAGGAGGCTTTCTGCTTTTAGACACATAGCCACGAGTCATTAAAGATAAATGGACACATTTAGGATGAGCATAGCTCATTTCAGGCCCGTGCTCGAAGGCCAAGTATAGAATGCAAATACAAGGGTCATCAAAGGGTGGTCTGTCAGAAGCTCATGGATGCTGTCAACTTGCCTCTTTGCCCCCCTCAGCCCCTCTTCCGGATCGCTGCCACCTCAGCTGTGTAATACCAAAGCGTCCCCCACCAACTTCATACCATGCATTTTGTTGGATTCTTGGAAATCTTCATCTTCCTTATTAACTTTTGAGGGATCACCCGTAAATGCATCAATGTTTGTGTCAAGATAGAAACTCAGATTTTCATCAAAGACTGTAAACAGCAGGTAGAATTCCTTATCTATTCCTTTCTGGAATATAAAACCAAAGCAGATGATATGTGTTATAACTAAGACTGTGTGGTCACACTGGCAATAAGAACCACATATAAGCATCATTTAAATCAAGGATAACAGAAGGGAATTATTTGCATTTGGATCTCCCACCAGTGAAATACCGACGGTGATGCTGCAGTCATAAAATAAGACTCCAGTAGTTCAAGGTTCCAGTCACCTTTACTCAGATTCTTAATATTCATAAGTACTAGAAACGAAAAGAATGATTTTAATGCTAAAGCGTTGGACTTTCTCCTGTAATGTCGTCGTCGTTTACTCGTTTAGTCATGTCCGACTCTTTGTGACCCCATGGACCAGAGCACGCCAGGCCCTCCTGTCTTCTACTGCCTCCCGGAGTTGTGTCAAATTCATGTTGGTTGCTTCGCAGACACTGTCCAGCCATCTCATCCTCGGTCGTCACCTTCTCCTCCTGCCATCACACTTTCCCAACATCAGGGTCTTTTCCAGGGAGTCTTTTCTTCTCATTAGATGGCCAAAGTACTGGAGCCTCAGCTTCAGGATCTGTCCTTCCAGTGAGCACTCAGGTTTGATTTCCTTTAGAATTGATAGGTTTGTTCTCCTTGCAGTCCAGGGGACTCTCAAGAGCCTCCTCCAGCACCACAATTCAAAGGCATCAATTCTTCGGCGGTCTGCTTTCTTTATGGTCCAGCTCTCACTTCCATACATCACGACAGGAAAAACCATAGCTTTGACTATTCGGACTTTTGTTGGCAAGGTGATGTCTCTGCTTTTCAAGATGCTGTCAAGATTTGTCATCCCTTTCCTCCCAAGAAGAAGGCGTCTTTTAATTTCAGGGCTGCTGTCTCCATCTGAAGTATAATGATTTTAATGCTAAAGTGTTGGACTTTCTCCTGTAATGAGAACACCTGAAATAAAGTATGTTGCAAGATTGTCTTCTACTAGGTTCTAGACTGTAATGAGCACACCTGAAATAAAGTATTTTGCAAGATTGTCTTCTACTAGGTTCTAGAGACCTCCCACCTTTCCAGTTATAAAGAAATGTAAGGTGTCTATCCCCCAGGGAAATGTATACTCACACTTTTCAGATTTAGGACCTCTGTTCTAGTCCTTATGAAAATAAGATTTCTCATATTGAAAAAGTACGGTCAAAGTGCCTTCAAAAATTCCTAAACATGCTTCTTTAAAAGTGTCTTTAAAAATACCTAGGAAACATTGTTTGTAGTAGTAATAAAGTAACTTCATTCTGCTTTGTTAAACTACTTCTGAAATGTAATTTCATTGTGCTCGTTAAAAAAACAAAATGGTCAGAATCCTACTGATGTTCACATAACGTTTGTATACCTTGCTGTGGCTGACTGTGGCTAATTGATGACCTTCTATGGCACATTTTGGTGGCACAATCTATCCTATGAGCAGGCAAGTGTGCTGGGCCACAAATTCATTACAGGTAACTGTGTTACTTGTGACTCATTACTTCTAAGTTCTGTGAAAAACAGAATGGGAGCATGCACCTGTCTTTGTTTTGATCTTTTTGATATTTTGAGCGGTATTTGGTTGAATACTGCTAGTGGCACAAAACTGGAACCTCTTGTTCTGGCTCAATAAGGCAGTCCCTGCGATTCTAAGTATTTAGTGGTCAAAACTTAATAAAAAA